TTGATTATACAAGCACTTTCCTCGACGCCCAATTGTATATTCAAGCCCTTCCCCCGGTGCCTGACTTATACAAGATTTCATTATTTTATAATTAACCAATTTGTATACTCAAGACCTACACCCTACGCCTAACATACACAAGGTTTTTTATTTTATATTCAAGGCAAACTTCAGCCCTTGAATGTTTCTATTTAATAACTCAGTGTCTAAATGGTTTGCTCAACTCAAATTTATTGCAATTAGACAAAGGGACACGGAGATTTAAGTGGTTCACCAATTTGGCTATGTCCACTAGGGTTGCATATGCATTTATGTTTTCACTATGTAAGAGAGATTTACAAAATACATTGAAGATGGCCTAGAACCTTTACATAAGGTAAAAGAAAAGGATGGTGGGAAGAGTGGTTTGAGAAGGGGAGATTTTTCTTGTTGTTACTAAGTTCTTGCTGGTGTGTGTTCTCTTCTTCCGTGTTCTTTCTTCCCTCTGCCTTTTATGGATGAAGAAATGGAATCCTCCATTAAGCCTTAAGGACACGTTTCACTTTGTTTTGCAACACTTGGACATCTTGTAATTAGAAGCAATCATGCTCATGCATGTGGACAAATACTCAAAAGCCACGTTCAAAGTCTAAGGATTATGAATCCCACCTCTCCAAAAAATCTCAAGTGTGCCAATAGAAAGAAACCAAGTGTGTTGCCAATCATTAGACATAAAATGTGTTCCAATCACAAGGCAACAAATGTTGTTCTAATCATTAAGAATGAGATGTGTTCCAATGGAAAAACAACAAGTGTTAGATTAATCATGAACTAATGAATATCATGCAAGATGTTCCTTGCACCCAAAGGCCACGTCCAAACAATTAGGGGGATGAATCATCACCAATTATCAACCATGATATGTGGTCCCAATAGAAAGAAAACAAATGTTAAGCTAATCATTAGCCCTACTATGTGTTCCAATAGAAACACACCAAATGTGAAGTTAATCATTGACAATAGGATGTGTTCGTATAACAAAGCAACATGTGTTAAGTTAGTTAAAAACAAAAATTATACCGAAAGGCCACATCCATACTTTATAAGATATAGAATCCCACCTCAACCTATCTATAGTAATGACTAACTCCTCCTCTTTATTCCCTAATGGTTGCCAAAACGCCACTTAGCCTTTGTGAGAAAAAAAATCAAGCCAAACTCATCATAATCCCCTTCTCCAATTCAAACTAAAAATATCTCTAATTACATATGAACATGAAATACATACTAGCTAATTTTTGAAATAATTTGTAGCAAAAAGGATTTTACATATCAAAAGTAGGTTCTTGCATAAAATAAATCTAATAAATCATTACGTACAAATAATTACCCACATACACACACACACACATATGACACACCCCGATCCTAAAATCAAGGCGTGTTGGCCGTCATGTGAGCGTGACGTAACCAAAAGTGTGACGCAGAAGCAAAAAGATAAGAGAAATACGAAGGAATAAAAACCAACTACTAGCAATAATATCCAACTAACATGCTAGAGTGAGTTTAAGTGTGAAACACACATGTTTAGAGCATAAATACTAAGTGCAGTCAAGTAGGACCACAACTAAATTACAACACCCGAAGGTGAGTCCTACATTTATGTAGTCTGTCAGAATGCCTTGGGAATCCTCGTGAGCCTCAAACACTGCTAACTAGAACTTGGAGGGGCGCAAAACAAGATTGAGTGGGTCAGTAAAACAAAGCTTTTCAAAAATATTTCATTTAACAACACTTCTAACCCTTCACTGTAAAACTTGTATACTTTCCCAAAAAAATAGTATATACATAATCATATATCGCAGCAAAACTCAAATCACAAATCTTTAACACTTTTCAAGAATATGCCATGCTATGATTCAAAACATGACAAGGATATCAATAAAACAAGTGAAATAATGTACCAACCTGAGACCCTGCAGTTGTCCTGTACGATTAATTCTATAGCTCAATATCCAACCAACCGGAGTCACCACAGTGACCTATACGGCACTACTCTGCACATAAATCGGAACTACCTGAAGTAGTCTGTACGACAAGAATGGTGTAAGAATACGCTATAGTGCTTCTCTCATCAACAGCTGTATAATAATCTAAAGTCACATACAAGTCGGAATCACCTCTAATGGTCTGTACGACATGTCGGAATCACCTCTAGTGATTTGTACGACATGCACTTACTTGGATCCAAGGTGAGCGTGTGGTGCGGGGTGAATAATATAAGCACTAACACCAGGGTGCAGGTTATGAGCTCTCAACACAATTTACATCATCAATAAACCATATGAACAACATAAACTCACCTGATACTCACATGTGCGTCCACAACAGCATTTCACATATATGCATCAAATACTAATTCATATTTTTCATGGAATATGCATGCATGGCATTTTAAAACATACTTTCATTTATATTCAATTTCTGGGAAAATCAGTAGTATATAGGTATAAACGGAAAATAACTGTCCACTCACTGGTAAGTCGAAAGGTCGTAACCCCCGTGACGCCCTTGAATGCGTTCGTCCTCGTGATAGGTCTCACCTATATGCGAAACAACTATAAAAAAGTTATTTAAAGCACATAACCAACAATATGTAATAACTTCTCATACGATGCTCAATTTGGGTATATGAATATACCACAATGATCTACACAACCTCAGGATCATCACCAAATTTTTAGAAAAATTTTTGACTTGCCATGCGCCCTCACGCACGAGGAATGGTACGGACCTGCGCGCCCCCACGCGCGTCGTCCCTTACCTCCAGTCGTCGGACTGGTTTCGCCGGCGCCGGAAAACTGGAGATTTTTCAAACTCCATTTTCTCCGTCAATTCTCAACCATTTTTTATGCATTTTACATCAAAATAAAGCCCTAAGCATGTAGAATCATTATACTAATTTAAGGCTCAAAAACACACGAAATCTCACCGGAGAAAATCCAAGAAAACCGGCCAACTTTGAACCCTACAATCCCGACGTCCAAAACCTTCAAACTAAGTACTCCGAGCTTCCTTGGGACCTCACTAAGCTCCATGTAAGCTTAGAATTCCCTGAAGTCAACATTTCACGTGTGCATGAACAGTACTCAAACTGGGGGTTCGGATTTCAGGAGTTTTCGAAGGTTTTAAGTTCAAAAATGGTACCAATAAACTCACAAGCTTGCAAGGATAAAGGAACTCACCTTTTTTACATCGATCCGTGGAGATTTGAGGGTTTTTGGTTCTTGTCCGTACGAGTTCGAGAGGGAGAGAGGAAGAGTGAATTGAGAGGGAAGAGAGAGAGGGCACGGGGTGAGGGGTGAGGGGAGAGAGTGTGAGGTTTGTTTTGAGTGTGTGTCATTCCCCTAACCACACTAAATGCAAACCAATTTTTTTAATCCAACTCAATTTTTCCAAAAACTTAGGAATGTATGAATTATTCAAATTAAACAAGTCACACATACCTTAGTAACCTTTAAGGGCAATTTCGTCAAATCACATCCACGATAACTGAATTTTCGGGACGGGCAGTGACACATATATATATAACAATTTTTTTTAAATACGGGGTATTAAAAAATAATATAGTATTATTAAAAAAATAAAAAAGCCTTGGACCAATATACTTTTATGTAGTTTGTTTAATCAAGTAAAATTTATGAATCTTATATTATTTTAAAAAATAAATTGTACATTGTTCAATGTAATATATTGTTCTATGGAAAAATTACTATCCGGTCCCTAGTTACTAATGTTCATTGACTGAAACATTATTAGTTTTCAGATTTTGATCAAAGTCTCTAGTATGAATGTAATAATGAATTTAAATGTCAGTTACATAATTTTTTTAAAATAAAAATTAATAATTGATTTAGAATTGTAATACTCTCACCTTTATTAAACTCCTAACTAATTTTCAATTCAAAACATTTCCAAAATAAATTAAAAAATTAGAATAAGTTTGTACCCATTAGCTTTTTTAAAAAATATTTTAAATATTTTAATCTTATATGTACCCATTCATGTAATTTTTTTTTCAAATTTTTAATCTTAAAATGTACTCATTTTTAAATATACCAATTTGTTATATGTAAAATGTACCTTTTTTATATATAAAATCTATTCAATTTTTTTCTAATCCATTTTTAAACTTATATGTGTACATTTTTTTTTCTTTGACTTGAGAATGTATTCCTATCAAGTTTAATTGAAGAAATTTACTAATGTTATTATACCTAATATTCTCTTCGTTTTTTGTGATTTTGAAGAATGTACCCATGTTTTGGTACAATAATTTTTGGTTATTTTTTATGAATGTACCCATGTTTTTATATATATACACACACAATAGTATATTTATATTTTAATATTTTTAATCTCACTATTTAAAATCTCATTAATATAAACAACTATAAATTTTAATTTTTAATTTAAAAAATATAGTAACATACATAGAAATAAATTATCACATTAATTTCAGAGACTTCGATCAAAAATTAAAAATCAACAAGGTTTTAGTCAAACAATATTCATAGCTAAGGATTGCATCCAAAGTTTCCATTGTTTATTTTATAAACATTTAACCAAGCAAAAACTCTATTCAAGTAAAAAAGCCGTAGTAACACAACACATCATACATACATCAATGGCTTCTCATCTTAAAGGTGTAAAGAAATCAAGAAACTATTAATTTATGTATTGCGTGAGACTTGTATGAATTTTTGTATGATGTCTAATATTATAAATTTCGCAAACCTTTAACGAAACACATTATTCCAAGTCAATACCGACCTAAAATATTATTTAACCGTGATTATTAATTAATTAGATATTAAATCATTGAAGTTTTACTATATTTTGTCAAATAGATTCTCAAATTTAGAGATTATAATCTCTCAAAAGAATCTCGTAGCTTGTACCATATTCCATATCCAATTAGTCACCAACGGAGCTACACACCACAAACATGCAACATGAAATTTACAGTGCTTAATATCAATATAACGAACAAAAACATTACATTCTCTTTCAAACATAGTCATAATTCAGCGTCGGCCGATCATTTTTCATCGACAAAGACGAATTATTCAAAAAAAATAAACAAATAGTTGACACAATTGAACAAGATGTGGCTTAATTACCAAGAGTAATACCGCAGAGGCAGAATAATTAAAAAGGTCGTACCCAGTGCACAAGGCTCCCGCTTTACGCAGGGTCTGGGAGAGGTGAATGTCGGCTAGCCTTACCCTCATTTATGGAGAGACTCCTCCCAAGTCTCGAACCCGAGACCTACCACTCATAGGCGAAGGCACTTGCCATCGCACCAAGTGCGACCGCAGAGGCAGAATAATTAAAAAAAAAAATTTAAAAAGTCTGTACAAGTTTGATAGGTACATGACCAATGTTGGTAACAGTTGGTCGATATATATTATATGCCGGTGCATATACAAAAATATATAACAAAATAAAGTTAGATGAAAGAACAAAGGAAGAATCCTTTGTCATTCAACTGTCGCCCCTTCTATACATTCTTCTTCCCTGTGTTCAACGCTTCGGATTTGCAGATGGGGCACACATTTTTCACAAGCAACCACTTCTTCAAGCAACTTGCATGATACTCGTGTCCGCAGTGGAGAATTCCTATCTTCTCGCGGTTCTTGTAATTATCCTGTAAAATCCCAAACGCAACAATGGTGAATTGACCGGCAAGATCGTATTTATTTTCTTAAATGGTAACTATTAGAGATTCACGAGTATGAAGCTACTCAATTGCACATAACCATCAAGACGAAAAATATGTTGGAACGAGATTTATGGTACCTGGCATATAATGCAGGAATCGGCTTCCTTCTCTGGGGATCCAGCATCTTCGAGGTTTAAATTAATTGAAGATGATAAATAAGACCTTGTCTTTAGTTGTTTTCTAATGGCCTCATCTGACAACCCAGTGTTTACATGGCCAATTTGCTCCCCCAATGCAAGAAGCTCCTGCAGTCGAAAGTGGAGTTTTCAGGTTAAAACTCTGCAGAAGCAGCATAACTATCGGAATAACAGAATAAAAGCAGTAGGAACATAAATATATCTGAGAATCCATTGGCATAGCTAAGGAACTCTTTTATCTTTTGCTTATCTGCACGATTCAGCAATTCGTTGATGTATCTAAATGAACAAATAGGTAAGAATGGAACTACTTCAGTTTACCTCATAGGACATGTCCTCTATGTCCAACCGCATGTCTCTGTGCTGGTCAAGAAAGCTTCCATATAAATTAGGAACATCTACTATGACACCCTCCTACAAAAAAAAAAATCCAAAAAGGTTCAGCCAAATATAATCTCAAACGTAGGTGGTAAATACTAAATGCATATACCACACTTCCAAATAACACGCAAGCGATATATATATATATATAGAGAGAGAGAGAGAGAGAGAGAGAGAGACACAGAGACACAGAGACACAGAGAGACAGAGAGAGAGATTACATCAGCCTGAAGAACTCTGAAGTGGGGAAGGTTCTGGTGTCTTAAAGCTGCCTCGGGAATAACTCCTTGGTGTGGCCTGTATATCCTAAAACCATTCGAGGGAATAGATCCTGGTTGCCTACGACCAATCTCCAAACCATTCTGAGAAGGATTCATGGTGCTGCGCGAGGAACTTGTGGGTAATCTATATGAAGCTGCTGTGGCACCCTGGGGGATAAAATTAAGGTTGTGGCCTCTTAATCCTTGCATGGGTGGTGCTACATGCTGATTATGATGGCGGTGGTTGAGCGGAGGAGGATGCCGGAGAATAGAGGAATTTCTGTTGCTAGATGAATCATGATATCTTTGCATACCCATGTTTGCGCTGTCCATAGAACCTACTGTGACATTACCCCCTGTGAGAATGAGCACAGAGACAAAGTGTTCCAATTAATAATTAGCACATTGATCATTAAATTAAGACACATAGGTGTGTTTCCTTAATTAGATCAATACGTTGTAAGAGCAACTGAAACATGACCTTTCTGACATTAAATGACCTAATCAGATGCAAATAGGAGTCCAATTATAAGGGAAGAAAATACAAGCAAGTACTGACCATGCATAAAAGGAATAGTAGGAACTGGATTCCAGGATGGAGAACTTCCATCCCCACTGTTACTACTTAAATGTTGATCCAACCAAAGTGTTCCAGCCGGCTGAAAGCGCTGACCCGCATAATTTACTTGATTCAGATGGTTATGGTCATGTGTCATAACAGAATCAAGCCCAGCTGTAGCTGATCTGTTCCTCATACTACTCTGAGGTCCTGCTTCCATAATTGGTGGATTGCCAGTTCCCGCATACTGAGGCAAGGCATAAGTTACAGCATCCATTACAGCAACTCCATCAGGATTCCTCAAATTCAAAGGAGGCACTGAAGAACTAGGGGTTGCAGAGGCATTAAAATATTGGAAATTCCCTGGTAGGCCTTCAGGGTTTTTTCTCTTAAACTGACCTCTAGCATCATCCATTATGCGACTATTTCTACCATACTCATCTGCAGAAATTCCAATGGCTCCATAATGGCTAGAAGATGGCGACGGATCAGAAGCACCGTGATTTAGAGGAACAGGTAACACCCCAGTACTAGACGAAGGAGTCATGTACGAATAATAATAGTTGGCTGGAGTCGCAATGCCCAAATCAAGATTATGATGATGCTGAACACCACTGTACTGGGCCATCCCATAGAATGCGGCATTATCATAACCCTCGGGTAAATGTTGGGCATCAAAACTAGTAGTGCCCCCTGAAGCTGTTACCATTGTGTGAACATTGTGCAGTTGGATACTAGAAGCGCCCCCAAAATGGACGGAGGGTGGGGGACAGGGATAACCTTCCCCTTGTTGACTCATTTCCAAATCGATCATCTGACTAGGGCATAGCATATTTCTTTGCCCCATTGAAGTCGCAAATAATCCCTTCGCTCCAGCCAATGTATCTACAAAAATCAGTCAGATGATCAGTTAGGACATTATAGAACATGGAACAAGTCAAAAAAAAAACATTTAGATGCATACATGGTCCAGTTACCCACTTCATAGTGAGCAAGCAGTTCCAGGGTTACCAACTTTTTGGGATCCACTATACATTGTGATTCAATTATCTAAACCATTTATTTTTAAAGTGTCCATTTAAGGATCATGCAAAAAATAATCCAAATGTGCAATCATTTAAGCACTTGACTATCCTCAGCTATTATTTTAGTGTTTACAGACAATATAAGTGTCCATCTAGTAGCTGAAAGGTAGGTTGACCGTGGAATTCCTCACTCCCCGTGGAGTGGGTGAACAGGTCTATATGTTATACCCTCCAACGTTCAGACTTTAGCACTAATTTCATTTACCATCCTTTACGAATGATTCAGTTATATTATATACAATCTTTGAAAAATAAAAATAAGGTCATTTTCTATATAAATTTTTTTGTTCAAAAAGGAGGGAAAAAAAAAGTCATAGTCTTCTAGAGTAGGAAGTTAAAATCTTGTAACTAAGCACAACCAACGTCACTGTCAATCACAATAAAAATAACCTAAGGTTCGGTAGAACGTCTAAATCAATCTCCCAATTAAGGTTCGGTCAATTATACAGTAACATGGTAACTGAAAATTGATACTCAAAATGCACAAATCAACATAGACACTCAAGCAAAAGGTTAGTCCATGCAGCCACAATAACGGGGAGATCACATTGACCACAAAATACTTCAGGAGTGGAAGGAAAGCATAAGAAAACCCTCAAGCAGCAAGAAATATCTCAAAAAGAAAACTGCTCCTTTCATCCACCATACGAGATAATGTGAACTCTTTAGGTTGCCAAAAATCCAATTATCCAGCATATTTCATTCTTTTTAAAGATAACTAAAATCATGAATCCCCAGTGAAACATGATGAAAGCATACTTTGATAAAACAAATACCCACTGCTTGTCTTAGTCTACTACTCTCTACCACAAGTTTGTAACCTTAAAAGATACCAAGTGCACCTGAAACTAAATGAAGGGGGAAGCACAGGTTTCACTGTTAAAAAAAAATATTTTTAAGAAAATGTGGAAGAGAAGTTCACTCTTCCAAATTTATACCAACAAATATTACCATTCTCATCACATCCCGTAAACCATACAAAGAAGTCTTATCCATGACTTTGTCCAAACTAATTCCATACGTAACTTCCTATTCTCCTCAGAAAGTAAAAAACTTCCCCATTATTGATTAACCCATCTACTAAAGAATCCCACTCAGCCAAACATACACGTTTAAGTATAGCATTCATCTCATGGTCACAAACTATACGTCCTTTTTCGATTCAAACCTAGGATCTTCATACTCACCTCACCCTTCTCATGCCACTTGAGCTAAGGTTCATGGTCGAAAACAAACAATACAAAGGTTCATGGGCGAAAACAAACAATACACTCCAAATCAACGTAATCAGCAGCTACGTGCGAATTATCATAATTATGAGATTCTATGAGCTACGAAAACAACAAGAACAAGTCCTATATTGACAAACCTCGTTAAGAAAGAAAATCAAGCGACAGAAAATACAATACCACACAGCTTATACAATCACAGATTTAGACCATAAAATCTAATATAACATAAAAATTAAAAAATTGAAAAAAAAAAAAGTAACATGCAGATGATAACCTCAACAAACTTGGTTCCATAAATTCGTGTACTGTGTTGGATATATATAAATTACCCCTTAGTTTTGCTCATCAGTTTAAAGGGGGGCAAATTATATGTAATATTTATTTAAATTTGAAGTTTTTTTTTTTAATTTCTTTGACTTTCCTAAGAAAATCAGAAGAAACCCAAATTTATTTCAACAAAAAATAAATCAATTTCCCGAACTCTTAGAAAAAAAAAATTAACATAAGTACAAAATTACATACTTTATTATCATAAACAAAGGGATTATATCCGAAGAATGCCGAATTTCTTCAAAAAGTTCCTGCAAAAGAAGAAAAAAAAAACCAATTCAATTACAAGATTACACATAACGAAATCGTCGAAATTGTAATCGGAAGGAGCAAAAAACCCTAGAGCTCAAATTAAACGCTAACGGCCACAAAAGCTTCAAAAATTGCAGCAAATAAAAAGAAAATCATGAAAAAGTTTGAGAATTTCAGTGAAATCGGGGTAGAAGAAAAACCTCACCGAAACGAAAACCGATCAAAGCAAGCGAGATCAAAAGGGTACTCCCAGAGAGAGAGAGAGAGAAAGAGAGAGAGAGAGGGAGAGGAGAGAGAGAATGGGGTTTTCAATATAATTGGGATAGAGAGAGAGAATTGAAATTCTGGGTGTTGTTCTTTTATATCCAGGAATCAGGATTGAAAGGAATATTGATTTTATGGCTCTGAGTTTCTAATTCTGACCGTTTATAATTTAATTTTTCAAAAAGGAAAACAAATTTAATAATTTTTTAATTTTGTTTCCAGTTTTTCTTCGGTCACTTTTTTCGATTCCGGTTATGACTTAGGTGGTTCTGTTTTTATTAGCTAATTAGGTTTATTAAAATCTAATTTTTTATTTATTTCAATTAAATTATGTAAAAATTAGAATGGATTTTGTATTTTTTAATGGAGATTTTACTTGTCCAATAACAACATTAGTTTTCTGTTTCTCGAGGGTAAGTTACACAAACCTGACCTGTTAGAGAGATATTATAGTGAGCTTGAAATTCGAGGCGAAATATTACGTATTATTATATAATTTACTAGATAATTGATTTGTTATATAATTGCATGATGATATATAATGTTCCGTCCTGTGTTCTGAAAATTTTGCACCTTTGTTTTTTAAGAAAGAAAATAAAGTGTAGGTGGCTCAAAAACATCATTGGACTTTTACTACATTTAATCATCTAATTTGAAATTAATTTGTATTTGTGATGCGAATATCTTGGAATCCAAGGAAGATTTTTTTTAGTTTCCCAACAAAAAGAGGAGATTTATGTCTTTTTCTTTTTTTTGTTAAGCGATAAATTTTGTTAGATTAGATTTTAAATTAGTCATCGATAAAATTTGAACTCACGTTATTATGTATGAGAGGTCAATATCTTTCCACTACTATAATAAATGATCACTTGCCTTATTTTGTTTGTTTTTAACGATAATGTTGTTTGGGAGTTATTATTTCAAAAATTTATTATGCACTCTTTTATGATAAAAAAATTACAAAGAAGAAATAATGCATAATGACTCATTTTGATTGCTAATAATAATTTTTTTAAGAAAAACAATTGTATTTATGAAGATGTTTTTTCAGAATGAGCTATAAAAATAGTAAATGTCATTGATATTCTAAAAATCTTATTATGCACACTTTATAAGTTTATTTTTCTTTCTAAATATAAACAATTTGAAATGCAAAATGAGAATGCTAGTATGCCAATAACAATCCCCGAAAAATATCTTAATAATAATTATTATCCTTTATAAAAATAGTCCCATCTGCCAACAAAGATACACTTCCATGATATGAATAGTGTATTTTTGCTTAGCACTCTCAAGCACTGTTTTAAAAACTTCCACCTAGCATTTTTTAGGCATTTGAAAATTAATAAATGATGTTTAGGCACCTGCCTAGATCGCGATTCTCACTTAGATAGAAAATAAATAACTTTTATTTTGCATTTTATTTTTTTATAAATTGTAAAAGAGTTGTTGAACAAACACTCGTTATATTAATGTTCACCACCATATTTATTACTATTTGATGAGTTTGTGAGATTTGTGTCTATTAACTATACAGATTTTGAAATTCAAATTTATCTACCTTTGATAAATTGGGTGATGAACATCACCATTACTTGAGACTAGTAAACAAAATATTCTCGTAATATGAATAGTCGCAACTAGGCATCAACTTATCGCAAATGTTCATCGTTTTGCATCTTGTCTGTTAAATGAAACCTATGAGATCTTCTAACCAAACAGAAAAAAAAACTACGACTGGAACAATAATCAATTGGACACATGGAAGGTTATCTCATATACGAATGCATTTCACATATACGTAATACGATGATTTCTAATACGCAATTACAACAAGTAATTTTACGTATATTAAGATAATTTCATAGAACGATTCTTTCCAACTTAACTATTAATTTTCTCTCTTATGTACTATGTATATAGTTGACCGCTTCCACCACCACCAGCACCGCAGTATTGCATTATGGTTTCATATCCACATGCCAAAAAAAAGGGACATCAATTCACGTGGTAATGACATTTTTATAAAACAAATGATGTTATTATATCAAATGATATTGAATGCATGATAGTACTAAATCCGGAGAAAATCAATAGTCAAATATTAATAAAAATATGTAAAAAATAGAACGAGTATGTGAATATTACATCCTTAAAATGATGGAGTACCTTTTGGGGGGTGGTATTAGGTATATGTAGATTCACACTTTAATCAATCCCACATGGCATAAACTAATCACTAATTATCTGTTCTTTAATTAATTTTGTTTTGAAACAAAAACAATAAATCATGAATACTTTGGTGACCAATAAAACCCACTACCAAGAAACTCATTTACAAAATAAACAATATGTAGAATTGTTGACCTAAACATACACGCACTGACACACACACAACAGAAAATTAAAAACAAAAACGTTTTTATCGTGGTTCTTTCTCCTCTGTGTCATCCTCTTCACGAAGCGGCCGTTTGACTTTTCGGTCAGTAAGTGTGTTAATTTTTTTTATTTTGGTCAGAGCTCAGAAATGTGTGTTTTGAAATCAGAAATCGTTATCCTTATTGCAACTTATTTCTGTTGTGATAAGCAGAAATATGAGAGAGAGAGAGAGAGAGAGAGAGAGAGAGAGAGAGAGAGAAGACGACTTAAATGGTATGGGCAACTTATTTCTATTGTGATAAGCAGAAATATGAGAGAGATAGAGAGGGGGGGTGACGACTTAAATGGTAGGGGAACATTTTTATATTGCAGTATTTTTTTTACAGCTAGATCTAATCTCCTGATCTTTGTGGAAAGGAAAAAGAATTTTATGTTCTTCCTTTCGAGAATGGAGGATTAGAAAAACCTTAGCAACTTTCTCCAGACCTCAAGGTAATGTGCTAATGAAACAATGACATCTGGACAAAAACGTAAGCATGCCTTTACTTCGGTGGTAAGAAGTGTAACTGTAACAGTGTAACTGTCCTATATAAGACCTTCTTGAAACTGCTACAGTTGTCTCTTCACAATGAAATAAAATATATGTTATTTTTGTCCACGTCATTGATTTAGACAAAAACATTATGTCACTGTCAAACTTAGATTCTTTCCCTTCTTATTTTCACCTCCTTCTCTCCAGTCCTCTCACACTCTCCATTTTGTCTCTCTCTAAAAAAATATATATAAAAAATTAGCGTGTTTTAACCATATCCGTTCAAATAGAAGGGGAAAGAAGAAGAAGGAAAAACAAGAAGGGAAAAAAGAAAAAGAGAAGAGAATCATACTTCGTTACGGTATATTGGATCTTTTTTTTCTTTGGACTACGCGGGAATCTGTCGATATATCCGATTTAATCTTCTTGTTTCTAGACGTTCTATAGGAATAAATTAGGAATGAATAAATTACTATTCCCTTCCTTTACCAAGAAACATTTATTCCAAGTCACAACATGCGAGTCATTTTAATATCTTTCTTTGATTCCAATTCCAGAACACAAGATCCGTTTTATTAGTTATATCTTATACATCTATTTATATATATCTAGCAAATCGCTATTTCATGTACTAAATATTTCCATCCATATTGATACATGCAATATTTTTGTTCCGACAACATAATGGGGAATGTATGCAAGAAGGGTACTTTCATTTCGAGTCTCATATTATTTAATATTTAATTAACTAATATTTATTTAATTCAATACAATATATTAATTTAATAATAGAAAATTTATTAAAAGAAAATAAAAGAGTATAAGAGTGGTTCGAAATGCCAAAAGAATATTCCTCACATTCAGAGTTGTAAATTACATATTTATGTGGTCCATTCTCTTCTAAATCCCAAAATAACAAGGATTGAGTTGAGGTGGGCTCATTACCTTTTTTTTTATTTCTAGCTTTTAGAGTGACTAATTAAAAAAAATAATTAAGAAACAAAAATAGAAGAAAAAAAAACGTTCAGAAATCGTTTTCTTAATTTCGGGTATTAAATTATGAATTTTGTGACATGTGTTACTTAATGTGAATGTGAGGAGACGTGAATTGGGGAATTTAGGAATATGAGAAGTAAGGAAATGTATTCAGATCAATTAATTCCTAAGTTAATCTTAATCTCAATTTTCAGGTATTCGTTTATATATTTCAAGGAGAAACCCGCATTTTCTCTAATTCTATATGTATTAGTAAACATAAGAAAAGTTTAGAGTTGAGGACATGTTTACTTGGTATTGAGATGGGAACCAATACGTATGACAATGTCATGAAATGATTCTAAACACCTGTATTATGATAAGCACGAAACACTCAAGAATCATAATGATTCTAAAATATGTCATTAATGTGGAATCCACACTTTATAATACATGTGTGTTAGTAATAAAAATAGTTATAATATCCATGTTTTAGTAAATAGAAAATTTGTAAAAAGAGTGAAGTTAAGAATCGGAAAAATACCAATACTCATTTTATATAAGTAGGAGTAATGCTATGTAGATTAATTTTTTGATCATATTTGCATTTGATGTGCATTGATAGAAAATAAGCACGTTTATCAACATTTAAGTAATAATTTAATCATCAACAACCATGTCATGTGATTTACAAAATATGCTTTAATAGATGGTCTCCCTAATATTAAGAGGTTTTTTAGTGTGCCGAGAACACGGATCAAAACCGGTTGAAAACTTGGAAAAAAAAAATTCAACCTATTGTATTATGACATCTAGTGTTCTGGAACCTGTTCCTGGCACAATGAATTTATTTATTTATTTATTTTTGGTATTACCCTGTAAGTAAACATGTGGTTCATATCATCTTCAAAGAATATAATCCCCTTTTATAAAGATGAGATTAGTTTTTGACAAAAAAAAAAAAAAAAAGATGAGATTAGTCTCTTTCCATATTTTGATGAAACCACCACAAATTTCCCACCAATTATACTCAACTAAGTCGTGTCTTTAAACTTTCCAAATTTTCAATACATTATTTTTAGGGAATTTTAAAGAAAAGCTCCATGTACTGTTCACTTTAACGAAAAATCACATTTTTACACTAAAAAGTCAATACTGATACTATTCACTTTACCCTTTATTTTATCCTTATCGTTAAAACTCAAAATTTTCATGTCATTTTCATTAATTTTCCTTTATTTTTAATCCAAACCACTTCAGCTCCTAAGCTCTTGGAATTAGCCTAG